GCATGAACACGACGTAATCCCTGTAGACTGGTCTCCCATTTCCACCACTCCACACGATTATGTCGGCTTGTGGCTCAGCAAGTTGGTTTTCCACATAGATTAGAAACGATCGGTCCCCCTTGTCCATAATTTCAGGCTCAAACTCACAGAAATGTAGCCTTAGCAGGTAAAGAAACTTGGGATCTACGGGAAATTCCCAGGTCATGTTGTAGCTCTTGTTTCTGGTGTGGTTATTGCCCATGGACCGGCCCGTTTGGTAAACTGCTTGTGGAGCAGAGTAGTTTGGTATTTTCACAAAGTTGAGTTCAATGCTAACGTTTTGTGGAAGAACGCTCCATTTAGAACTCAAGTACTTTTCCTCCTCTCGTAGACTGTCCCAATTTCGGTACATACCAGTGTCTTGATTGAATAAGATTCCGCTTCCACCAATGTTTATTCGGTACACCATCTCCATCGCTGTGCTGTTTTTGATACTATATTTGACGTCGTTGCCTACATAATCAACTCCATGGCTTTCAGATGCAGTGTAGTAAAGATTGGTGGGCATGGACACAATCTCAATCCCATTGATAAAGGCATAAGCATCTGAAATTGCTCTGTTCGGAGTGAACGTGATGGTCAAGCTCTGTCCTTCATCAATGTTCAAACAGAACTCTCTTATTAGCTTCTCGGTCTTACCAGCATCAGCAGTTACAGAAGCATTGAAATCATGGAGAAGGGTAAAGCCACCGGCTTGGACAGAGAAGAGGGCTTTGGATCGGTCGAAGCCGGGGTCATATGAAACTGGGTGGAAGTATAAACGAATAAACTTCTGCCCGGTGGTGAGGGGAACTTTGTAAGAAAATTCGGAGCGAGAGAGCCTAGCCGTGGTGTAAGGCACTGGGCTAACAGAGGAGGAGGGAGGTGCTTCGCTGACTTGGGATGAGGTGTTGGTGCTAGCTTGGTGTAATTCAAAAGGGGAGAATTTGGAGTTGATATCTCCAGTCCAAGTCCGGTTGTCATCCACGTTCAATGAGGTTCCGGAAGAGCCACAGTTGATGGTGATGTCTTCGACCGGAGTGTAGATAGGTGCAGAGAGTAGGGTGGCAATTTGCAGAAACAGGGGAAGGAAGTAAAGAAGCAGAGGAGGGAGAAGGAGTTTCTTCATGGTTATTGTTTTGGAAAAGTATTTGCTGCTAATTGGGTTCTTGATGATATCTAAGAGAAGAGGAAGATTAGAGGGTAATTAAGGTGTTGATGAAGAGGATGACGACGATGATCAAGTGAGAAACGGGGAAGCTGCTGAAACACAACAGAGAGATTGCCGTGTTTAATTTTCAAATGTGAATTTGAAACTTCTGATCAAGAAGTGTGTATTCACGTGGAGAATAAGCTACACAAGTGGTGTTCTCTGAAAGTTCAGAGCTGCTTCTTTTCCATCTTTTTGGTGTAAACTTTTTCTTTGCTTTTTTATTTTTTATTTTTAAAGAAATTAGGTTCGTCAAGAGAGAATAATTCAGACATAAGCTTTCTATTGTTTCAGTGCTACCCTATCTTTGTCATGTGTTGATGGGTCTGGTAGGTAGGCCTATGATTGTCATTTCAAATGTGTCAGTGGAGGTCCCCTTTTATCATTGAGATGTATATTTTTCTAAGAAATTGCGTGGAAATGTAAAAGAAAGTTGTTTCTGTTTTCTTTTCTGAAAAGCACAAATAAAAAGCACAATCACTCTGATTTCTTCCACAAGGGGACAAAAGCGTCCTATTATTTTTAATCAGCGAGTCTTCTAGTTGTCGCTGCATTGTTGTTTGCATGCTTGTATTGAATTTCTTGAGCGTAAGCAGGATATGGATCAAAGACTTGCGTTACCAAAAAAACAAAACATCAAAGACTTGCTTTTGGTTATGCTGATTCCATAATAGAAAAAGATATATCACATATGCTTTTCTTTCCTCTTTTAATCTTGGCCGTCTGACTTTGTTAAAGTAAATTCAACGGCTGCCAATATTGACCCCACAGTGTATGCGTGATGCAATGTGTTATAAATAGTGTTATTGTTTTCCTTTTTAAAGATTATGCTTGATTCAATTGAAATAAGGAGGAGACCATCTTTTTATGTGTGTGTGGGGTTTAGCAAAGATAAGTAGAGGGAGGGAGAGTTATGGATATGTTATGTGTAGGTGTGTGGATCTCTGACTGGAATTTTTTTTGTACAAGTAGGGTAGGGACATATGATCATCAAACATTTTTCCATCCAAAATTGACAATCTGACTACCCTAAGAAAATTGAAGTTCTACTATCTATATACTTTCTAACAATTTCAAGGAAGAGGAATCTACTAAGCATGATCAGTGAGGAATAAATTTTTATTTAGGCATAAAATAAAAAAAATAAAAAAAATAAAAAAAAGAGGAAGTAATTTTTTACAGTAACAAAATTACAATTAGTGTTGGAATCTTTAATCAACATTTCCAATTTGGTATGCAATAAGAAATTGCAAGCCTATATGGAAGTTTTAATTTCGCAGAATATTAAAAACAAGGAGAAAAAAATTACAAATATATATACAATTGCATCATATGGATATACAACTCCACGCAAGCCCTATACCATATATGATTAAGAATATTAATTTGTACAGATAATCATCATCGTCCATTGGGATCGTTGATCTCAGAGAACACAGTCCCAGACATTCCTGTCATGGATTCGTTAGTAGAAGAATTGTTCTGATTACTAGTCTTGGTCACCCTGCTCTCCTTCATCTCCGATGAGTCTTCCCAGCTACAACTAATAAACCCTGCACCACTCTCACTCTTTAGCCACACCTTATCTTCACTCTTCATCTCATCGCTCAAATTCGAATCTCCTCCCCCGCTATGTTGCGACTTGGGTTTGTGTCCTGATCGATGCTCCCTTTGTACGCGTGGCCAAACCCACCAACACCGATAATGAAATCCTAGTTGAAGTTTTTGGGGGCGGCTTTGATCTCCGACAATGAAAACTCACGACACAAACCAGACAGTAAAAATGAGTCATCATCGGTGTCCTTGGATCTTCTTCTTCGCCTGAAAACCAAGAATCCGAGGACACAGAATAATACGAGTATGGCGGAAACTGCACCAGCAACGATGGCAAGCATAGGAGTTGACTTCTTCTTCGACTCTTTTGAGGGGGTTTTCGGCTGCATCGGCTTTGGTGGAGGTGGGTCGGGGTTTGGTCCTGCGAGATTTCCATTTGTATCACTTAGTTTGAAGAGTTCAAGGCCGTTCAAGAGTACATCATTGTATGCAGTCATCCAATCTCTCGGGTTTGCTTGCAGTGCAAGAAAGAGCTTAACTTTGTAGGAAATCAGTTTGTATAATATCAATTAATATCAATACTGTTGTAATTAGGATTTACTTTCCTAGTAAGTTCCCTAGAATAGAGGACACGTTTCCTAGTATACTTAGAACTCTCTTGTATAAAACCAATTGTACCTATCAATGAAAATTATTCTCTTCCAATATCATATTCACATGGTATCAGAGCAGGACATCAAACCCTAGCTCTTCATATTTCTTTTCCTACGGCACCTTACCTTCTCGTGCCGCATAACTTCAGCTGCCGGAAACCATGAGTGATTCCTCTGGCACATTCAAGGTTGAACCTTCAAGTCCTTACTACGTCAATAATTCAGATCATCCAGGTTTGGTAATTGTACCAAAGCCTTTGAATGGAGATAATTATGCAACGTGGCGCAGATTCATGACTATTTCATTGAACGCAAAGAATAAATTGGGTTTCGTTGATGGAACTCTCAAAAAGCCGTCATCGGAATCCACTCCTGATGAACACGCGGTATGGATGCGCTGCAACGACATGGTTTTCTCCTGGATTGTCAACACTCTTGATCCCGAAATCAGCAATAGTGTCATATATTGTACCACGGCCCGCGAGATTTGGGAGGATCTCCGTGAACGATTCTCTCAAAGCAACGCTCCTCGTATCTTCCAACTTCAACGGGAGACTTCATATTTGACACAAGATCAATTGTCAGTTGCTGCCTATTACACCAAGTTGAAAGGTCTTTGGGATGAACTTGCTTCCTGCACAGATTCTTCTACCTGTACCTGTGCAGCCCATGGTGATCGCAACAAACTCATGCAATTCCTTATGGGATTGAATGAGTCTTACAGTGCTGTTTGTGGCCAAATTCTCTTGATGAATCCCTTGCCGTTTGTTAGGCAAGCATATGCCTCCATCAGCCAAGAAGAAAAGCAACGCACGCTTGGAGCCTCACGAGCAGCTACTGGAACCTTCGATACTGCTGCCATGGCTGTTAGAACTGGACGTCCTAATCAGAATTGATCCACCAATCGCGAAGATCATCGCATTGACAGGTCAGACCAAAATCGTTCCCAAACCTCCAACCGTGATGACCGCCGCGCAGGATCTTCAAGAAATCGACCCCATTGCACCCATTGTGATGACGATGGTCATCACATTGATACTGCTGGAAGCTTCATGGGTATCCAGAAGGTCATCCACGCCACAAACCTAAGAAAAATCATGGTGGTCCATCTTTCTCTTCAGACTTTTTTTCATGAACAGGGCATCATTTTTCAACACTCTTGCGTTTATAAGCCTCAACAAAATGGGGTCGTAGAACATAAGCATCACCACATCCTTGAAACGGCTCGTGCTTTAAAAATTCAGGCCAATCTTCCTTCCTAATTTTGGGGGGAATGTGTTTTAACTGCAGTTCATCTCATCAACCGTTTTCCTACTCCTCTTCTTTCTTTTAACACTCCTTTTGAACGTCTTTACTCCAAAAAACCACTTTCTCTCACCTTCGTGTTTTTGGTTGTCTTGCATATGCCACTAATGTTCATGTGACACATAAATTTGCTCCTCATGCTATTCCATATGTTTTCCTTGGTTATCCCCTTGTTCAAAAAGCCTTTAAGCTTTATGATCTTAAGTCTCACAAAATTTTCACAAGTCGTGATGTTAAATTCCATGAAAATATTTTTCCTTATCACACTTTTCCTTCCCTCTCTTCACTTTTAGTTCCCTCTTCTTTTCCGGCTCCTCCTTTCCCTTATGATGTGGACCCAATTTTTTCTTATCTAACCGCTACTTTACCTGAGTCGACCCCCGCCAGTCCACATCCCATGCCTTCGTCCCCACCTGACACCACCATCGAGCCTAATGAGCCTGGTCTGGCTTTGTTATTATCCCCACCGGTTGAGCTCGCCCACAGTTCACCCGCCACCAGTCCATATGCACCCACACCTGAACCACTACCTCTCCGCCGATCTGAACGCATCTCTGTACCTTCCGTTCGCTTACGTGACTACATCTGCAATCAGGTCATGTTGCCCATCCCTGATCACTCGTCTTCTTTACTGCCGGGTCCTACTAAAGGTACACCTTTTCCGCTTTGCAATTATCTCTCATATCATCATTATTCCTCGGCTCACCTTGCTTTCATTGAAAAAGTTAGTAACATTGTTGAACCCAGTTCTTATGAGGAAGTTGCTTCTCACTCTCATTGGCAAGAGGCTATGCAGTCTGAATTGCAGGCCTTGCTCGATAACCACACTTGGAGTTTTACTCTGTTGCCTACTAGAAAGAAGCCCATTAGTTGTTAGTGGGTGTATAAAATAAAGCTTAAATAAGATGGTTCTGTTGAACGATATAAAGCCTGGTTGGTTGCTAAAGGTTTTACTCAGCTAAAAGGTGTTGATTGTCATGATATTTTTTCTCCCACTGCCAAAATGCTCACTCTTCGCTGCCTCCTTGCTCGTGCCGCCACCCGTAATTGGCCCCTTCATCAGCTTGACGTCAACAATGCTTTTCTTCATGGTGATCTCCATGAGTAAATCTACATGCTCCCTCAACTTGGTCTTTGGCGACATGGGGAGAACTTGGTATGTTGCCTTCATAAATCTCTTTATGGTTTAAAGCAAGCTTTTCGTCAATGGTTTGCTAAGTTTTCTCAGGCCATTTGTTCTACTAGTTACATTTAGTCTAAAGCTGACTATTCATTATTTACACGCCATAAGGGGCACTCTTTCACAGCATTATTGATTTATGTTGATGACATTGTTATCACGGGCAATGACCCTATAGCTATCTCGGCACTCAAGGATTTTTTGCAGTCATTTTCGTATTAAAGATGTAATAACCCAAACCCAAAATTAATATTTAATTATTAATTTATTTGAGAAAAAGACTAAAATACCCCTAGAATATTTT